TAGTTTTGCGAGATCTCGCAAAAGTCCGTCTTAATTTTTTTTTCTCCCATGTCCCCTGCGGGGCTCCGTAGTAAAACCCTATTCTGAACTTCGAGATAAAAACGCAGGCAAATACTCAAATGGTCTTTCCCTCATTTAAAATTTCATTCCAGGTCGCTTCACTCTTCATTGTTTACCCCAAATCTCAACAGATATGAAAAAAAGTACTCATTTTAAATATAGTAGCATGTAAAGGACATTTTCTAGTTTGATTATTACAAGTGTGTGCAAGGTTTACACTGGACAAAGTGCTGATTTACTGTTTGCAGCAGGACAAGAAAGTCGAACTTTTTAACTTTTTAAATTTTAAATTTATGCAACAACACAGTACTGTCCAATAGTCACCCCTCATTTCTTTATCCTGTTAAGGAAAATGGGAAATAAGTGCAGCGATTTGTTAAAACGTGGAAACATACGTAAAACAGTATACGAGGCAAAAACTGAGTGTGTGCAAATCTAAGGAGCTTAAAAGTCAATATTTGCTATGAACACTTTATATTCATCAACACAGCCGGAACTCTCAAAGGCAAGCTTTCTGGTCATTTCTTTAAGTGGTCTTCAGGAATAGTTCTCCAGGACATTCAAAGCTCTTCTTTGGATGTTGACTGATCCCACTCTGCTTCAATAATTCTGATCTGGGCTCTGGAGAGGCCATGACTGATAGTACAGTTTAATTTTCTACCCAAATATGCTTTTACTGCATTGTTGGTGTGTTTGGGATCACTGTCATGTAGAAAAATGAAGCTCTCGACGATCAGATGCTTTCCAGATAGTACTGTACGGTGGATTAAAACCTAGTGGTGATTTTCCGTGTTCACATTTCCATCATTTTTGACAAGATCCTAGTTAAAACGTAGCCCCGTATCCGTACATGCCCAGTAGGACAGTATGCTTTTCAACTAAAAATGATGCATTTGTGTGATCAGCCGCTAGCAAAAAAGTACCAAAATGTACTTATTTAAAATCGCTTCATTTCTAAATTGTCTTTTATGTGTAGACACATAGGTCAGTGGCTCAACAGACTCTGAAAATGGTCAAGTACAAGGACTGGACTGAAGATGAGTGAAGGAAAACTGTTGCTCAAGGCCACCTTAAAAATGACAAGAAAGCCTGTCTCCTTGGGAGCAAATCAATAAAGAGATGAAGGGTGGATTGAGACGTTTGCACTGTACTGTACATTTGCCTTGTTGGCAGTAGACAAACGATCATACCATTGTGCATTGTGTAACTTTATTCAATGTCTCATTTGAGCAGATTAGAAAACTTGTCACAGCAAGTTCCAGCTGCACAGTGTGAACATGGCGCTGGTCTTTGCATGATGTGTGCAAGTATTAATTAAACCCTAAAGCCTTACACTGTGTGTGTGTGTGAGAGTGTGTGTGTGTTTTGAGCCTGATTTCTTTTCTTTTTCCTTTTTTCGTCCAGAGTTGTTAATTTTCTGTCGTATTTTGTAAACTGAATGCTTTGAAACGACTCTTCGACGTACGTCGGTTTTGTATTGTGTATATACACTTGTCAGTGAAATGCTAATTATGCACCAGCGAGGGAGAAGCGCTTATGACAGACATTTTCATCTTTAATGAAGTCCGATGGGGAGGAAGCAGACGTGTCAGGAAAGAGACGTCGAGAGAACAACCTTGTGTGCTTTAACGGGAGCGGCCGCCCCGTCTTCTGTTGCTGTTCTCTGTCGTCCTTCTGAAGAATTACAAGAAATTGGAAGTGATTGCAGCCTCGAGTGCCCAGCAGAGGAGAGCGACTTCACAAAGAAAACAAGTCAGAGACATCAGACTGATGCAAATTACTGAGAGTTCCTCGCACGTCCACCCAAAGCTTCGTTTAATTACACGAGGACCGCTCTCACCTGGCGTTCGTAGCTCACTTGTAGCACCACTATCGTCGTGCTTCATATACAGTGACTCTGTTGGGTGGTTTGTTACGGCTTTGTTGTTGTTTCTTTTACTCAAACTTCCAAATTGTTTGGTTGTCGATGTTTCTTTTGCATGCCTAAAACGCTCCAGTAGTTTCAGTGCTAAATCTCAGTGGATTCTTATTGTGCTGTTGTAGCTCTCCTTGTGCTATAGGTGAGGATTTCCTGCAGACACTAATGTGTATATACAAAATGCAGCTAATATATGGAGGATGTGTTTGAGTGTGCTCAACTTTTATAACTGTTTTCATGTGGTTTATCTTTTAATAGAGTTGAAAACAATGCCTTTATCTGGTATTTCTGCTTGGATGGGCTGTGATGTTCTCGGTTTATATGTCACAGGTTCATATTCTGCAAATTGTGAGATAGACCCTCATCAGTACATACATCTTGTAACTTAAATAAATTCAACCAGTTAATTATTTT